AAGGAAGTGAAGATATTAACAATTTCTCCCAGTATTCGAAGGAGATGTTTTCGCGAGTCGCTTTACGATAACCGCGCGGTAACCAGCGAGTTTCTTTCTCCGCGTTCCGCCCGCGATACCGGCGAAGTCACGCGAGTTCCGCGAGCTTCTCGCTTTTCATGTGATCCGCACGTGTAGTTACGTGCACGCTTTTCTCTCTGGATTTCTTCTTCCTGTTTTTTTTTTGTTTTTTTTTTCCTGTTCTATCTCTCTAAGTTCCATCTTTCTCTAAGTTCTAAACGTTTCACCGACGCTTCTAACGAGTTCTCGACCTGTGCCTGTGTGTACACACGTGTGTTGTCTCTCCTCCCTCCCCCTCCCCCGTATGCTTGCGGTTGTTAGTGAGTTGATCACCTCAAGAATTGCTTGCCGTCCTTCACAGTGCATAGAGAGGGGGATTCGTTGATGCATGCCACGTAAAATGAGCGCGATTGCGCGACATGCGAAATCGAGCTCCGATACCACGTTGCGGAACAGAGAACCACGGCGGAGGAGTCTCGCGCGATGGTCTCTCAGATTGATGCCCGGACGCATTCACTTGTCACTTGGCGTCGCGTAGAAATGAACTCGACAGCAAGTTGCAAAGTTACTGATTCATCTTTGCCCGATTTAGCGCGTCTGATTTAAAACGAAGGATAAAAAGAACTATTATAATTTATATACTACACACACACACACAGTTGTCTTGTCAGTGGTTTGTTAATAAAATTCTAACTCTACTGCGACTCGTTAATTCAAGGAATTTTCTCTCTCTTTTTTTTTTACATCTGTATTTTCTGTTTTCTTTTTTTCCACAATATTTTGATACCGAGCTGATTGAAGGTAAAAGTACCATTGTCTGAACACGTACTTAACTGTGGACATTTTTGTATGCAGAGCAACAGCCTGAATTTACTACAAAGCGATACGGAGTTCTCAAGATAGGGCTTATTATCCGATTGTATGTGAGATTCATGCTACCCATCGCGTGATTCGCACAATATCGATTAGAATGTTAACAAGTTAGGTCTCTTTGTAACCTATTTAAATGTAAGCAGCAGTCTCCACTGAACTATTTCTATTACGCGAAACCTCTAGTTTTCAACGTTTTTCTCCATCTTCTTTATTATTGAATTTTGTGATTTTATGATATTATTTTCTTGACAACCGACACATTTTCTGCTATCCTATAGTAACTAACAATTTGCCGTGCCAGCGAAATATTTTTATATTTAACGATCAAAACAACAAAAATGTTCAAAGTTAAGTCCGGGCATTGGTACTATCATCTTAAAATGGTGTTCCTTTTTTATTCTTACCATTTATGAAACAAACTCGATTTCAAATTTCGGACTAAGTATTCATTCGCAACTTGGTAGCCGAGACTTCGCATCGTGCAGTCAGCTGCGCTGCGTTTACATCGTTCCTCCGACGATGATCGTATCGAGCAATTCAATTTTAGCCGTCTGACTCTCTTACGCGCAGCCTACTTTCCCCACGTATGTCATTGTTCGCACGTATCCTCTTGCGAGGAAGACCCCTGGATATGCGGTATTAGAGTCAATCGGTTCTCTTCATTTGAATTCGATTCGCGGATCGACATGGAGCGAGGTAAAATAGTCCACACCCTCGTTTTCGATACGATCATCATCCGTGAGCGATTCACGAGTCGCTCTCGCGAAGGAACTTCGCAGCGAAATGCGAGTCTGCTCTCCGTGTCTCGCGGCGAACGAACGATCGAGAGAGCCCGCTTTAGCATGAACGCTTGCTTACGAATCGCACAATGGATTCGTCATGGCTTGTCGTTTGGATCCGGTCAGAGAGGAAGGGAGAGAAAGAGAGTGAAAGAGAGAATGAGAGAAAGACGCTTAAAAGATGTCCCAAGATGTCATTACCACCACGAGTCTAGCCGACAAGTGGCTTCCGATCAACCAGGAGGCCGAGTCGATACCAGCAAGTAGCCGAACACTATGATGCCGAGCTTGCCATGGTGGTGTGGTGCTCTGATAATCCACTCGTCCGGCCGATCGATCGGCAGATGCCATGAAACGCCAGCCTGATAAATGCCTACCGCGATGAATCATCGAACAGAGAAAGAGTCGCTCGCGAAACTCATCGGGAAATTGTTCAGTACATTCGGTTTCCGAGCATATCACACGGTTTGTTTCTTCTAATCGCGCTGTTATTCTTTTTATTGTCTCTTACAATATCGTGCTTATCGCACCCATTTTATAGTCAAGTTCACCAATATTGTTGCAAACACGATGCAAAGTTGAAGTTAAACCGTGTTTTTTTTTCTTTTCTCACAAACGTTTCTCGTTTTTATATTTTTATTTTTCGGTTAAGTACAACCATTGTTGATTGTCAGATTAGATGTACGAGTGATGTCGGGGTAAAGGTAAATTTAAGTAATTTTTCTTTTATCTTCGTTTCTTCCCGTGCACTCCTTGATTCGGACCGAAGCGCGCGTCCTTTATTCTCCGACCGGCACTTTCCCAGAATATCGAAACTTCGTTCTCTAAATCCGCGTTGGATTTGCCGCACGAAGGAGCTTTACCGAAGGGTTGGTCGCGCGAATGTTTTCGCACGGCATTATCAGGATGGCGTGTCGTCGTGTGTCTCAACCTTCTGTCCTATCTTCTCTTTCTGTGCGCTTTTCAACGACCGACGACCGACACGGAGCCCGACTTCCTCAAGTCCGATTTGCCCGGGAAACGTAAATGAAACGACGCGACTACGTGCGACGTATAAAAGAATAAGAAAGATACGAAAAGTTAAAGCGTCAACGCACGTCATTACGTATGACGCAACATACTAACCACTTCTGGACGTATCTCGAGACTTGATCGCGTATTTTTTTTTTTTTTCTTCACTTTTCTTTCAATCTTCGTTTTTTTTTTCTGCTCCTTCTGATCTCTTTCTCGTTGTCCGTCGAATTCGAGAGACGTGGCTGAAAGGGTGGGTCGATCGACGGAAACGATGGATAGTGATCGCATAATAATAGCAATTAATAATATTCTACTGCGACGGAATCACAACGAACGAAGACGATGCATGCGTGGCACGAGAAGAGGTAGATTTACATAGGTATAATTATTATTACTTGCGCTTTATATCTATTCTCACGACATACATCTCCCGTCTTTGATACTTTTCTCAGTTTCTCAGTCTGCTTGACGAATTTCTCTTACGGCTTACAATACACGATTACTAGTACTACTATTACAACTTACACCACTACTACTATTACGCTTTCTTACGGCCTCGTACATCTCGTCTCCGATTTTG